CGGAGTTCCGCCATGACACTCCAAGCTTTTTAGCTGAATGTTGCAAACACGGTGATCTCTTCAGACACTTCGTTGTGATTAAGACTTGGCAAGGATGTTGTTGTTTTTTAAGTTCAAATATAGGCCTTGTATGATGAGTGTTGGAAACAAATCAACAGTATAAGGTCCCTTGCTATCATTGCCATCGTTTAGAATGCAAATGGTTCGATGGGATGGAATGCATGTGAACAACCTTGGCACTGATCTGTGGGTATGTGGATCAGTGATCAAAAAGCTTCTGGACTATGACAACATATTTGGAGGTTTGGACATGGATGAACCGGATCGGCTCTTGCTTGCCTATGACATGTTTAAAACATGGAGCAGAACCAATAAGGTCCGGCATTTTGACTCTTTGGTAAATTTGTTTTCCACCAAGTGGTTTCAGACCTGAAGGTAAAGCTCAGAGAAAGATCCTATCCCACATCTCCATTGTCTTACAGCTGAGGCACTCAATGCCGAAGTTCCGTCCATGGCGTTTGCGCTCCAAAAACCATCCCTGGCCAGAGCTTCAATCCAAGGCCTACAATGCAACCAGGCTGATATTACTTTTGGGTGTTGGGGCTTGGTGATGACCCCCTATAGTGATCCACATAGCTTCTCAGAAGGTACTTGGACCCTGAAACCTAAATATATTATAGGGCTTGAGGGTATGTTGATCCAAAAGGAGTATACTAGTATATATGTGGCTTGTCCCTTCGCAATTCTTGACACGCCTTGTCCCCCTGAAGTCTCTCCATCGGCCCATGGCTACATCGGAGTCTAAGTGGCCAAAGCCTTGTGTTTGATCATGTATCCATTGGGCCTGAGGCGCGCTGTGTGCTCGCCTGGCTTTGTGATGAAGTGGTAGCACTGGCAAACAGTGAGAGCTTCAGGGATGACCAGTGGATGCCCCTTTTGGCATCGTGCACGTGGCTGTGCTGGGTTGGTGTAAAGGTTATGGTGGGTAAGAATTTAAGATGTTGAACTGCCGTGATGTCTGCCGCCAAAGTTGTTTGCGTTGGCTGTAGTACGGAACAACTGCAACGGAATCACACTCATCACTCTTCAAATTTCTGAGTGTTGCATACCTCTGGAGGTCCCAAACAAATATATATACATATATATTGGAAAGATGGGAAAACAAGACAGTGCTCAGCCAGAAATAGACACAGTACTAGTCATTAAGGAATCTGTCATGAATCTGAGGGTGATTGGACACTCTTTGGTATATGAAGGATCGGATCGGATGTGACATCATTAGCTGAGGTTCCATCTGGCTGAGTGGCATCGCAAGACTGAGTTGCTAGGAAGGTTCTTGGTGCCGGATGAGGCCATGGATCTTCAGAGGGAATGTGATGGTTGTTTGACCTACTATTTGGTCCTGAGCCATATGGCCGTGGCTGCTGGCGTTTTGCTCTTCCCGATCCGGCCGAAGCTCCATGTGACTATTACTCAGCACTCACTGCTTGTCTCTTTTTTGGTTCCCTAATTTTTGGGATCTGCCAGGCCTTATTAGCTAGCCTTGTAAGGTGTCTTCAATCACCCCGTGGATCCACTGGGTGTTTGGTGAGGACATGCATTTCCTAGGCTTTTTTGCAGCACACATCCTAGGCATTCCAAGAGATAGCACTAGCTCAGCGGGAAGATCTCATCAACCATCGTTTTTACCAGGGCTTCAAACCTGAAGATTTCATTGGTCGAGTGTCCACCATTTGTGGTGCTGGCAACAACTCCAATGTTGAGTACATAGCCATCCAGCGTTTTTATGTAGGGTCTCTTGGATTTGATGGTAACCTTTATAAGTTGCACTGTTTGTGTGTATCTTTAGCCTTTGCATTGCTGGGAGCAGTCAACCTATCTGTCAACTCAGGCAGAAGAGCCATGAACGGCTGGGGAATGACAGCTCCAGTGACGGAGCCTAGTGTATACTTAATTAGTTCTTTGCTTCTGGCTGCTAGGGCATGGTGAAGTGACACAGTGGCTTGCGTTAAAAGTTCATTTCTGCCTGAGCACTGTCGCGGGGCCTGTCACGTTTTTCCATCCAACCAGAGGGTACTTCACATTGCAATCATCTTGTCAGCGTATGTTTAGGATCCCTAGGGAGTAACTAGAAGCAGCTACTAGTAGCACTAGCTCCAACACTAGCCTTTCTCAATAGCTCCAGCTACAGTCCAGCCTTCAGGTCGTGCGCACGAATCGCCGCCAAATAAGAACCGAGGCGTTGAGAGTCTTCCAACATCAAAGCGTGCACCTCTAGCTGGTCGTAGGCCTCAGCCACGTCGGGAGGCCATGCGCAAAAAGATGGATCACGATCTGTTCTTGGTCTAATTTGCAGGATATCTCTGGCCATTTTGGATTCGTCTTTCCTGGCATGAAACCATGCGCGGCGCGTAAAGGCACTGCAATCATGCGCGCACACACCTACAAACTCCAGGCCATCCAAGCCAAGCTACTTCGAAGTACTCGACATCAGCAAGGTGACTCACTGTCATATCCTCTTGATCTTCCTCAACTTCTTCGTAGAGCTCCTCCTGTAAACGAGACAGCCAAACCCCTTATATAGTGATTAGAGCTGTCTTGGAGAAGACGTACCAGTGGTGGAACATGTGGGTAAAACTATGTCAAGCTTTGTATGCACTCATGAAACCCTTGTTTCCAGTGCTTAAGGCTTAAGCCCTTTCATATCCTCATGCTCACTTTGCTTCGCGAGGCGGAGTGTTTGTGCACAGGTCAGGTCAACTCAACAAAAGCAGTTGAGTAAGCAGGCATGCACGGAAACCTGAGAATGGATGAGCAAGCATGGCGTCAGGCATCTTAGCCATGAGGCATACAGGCATACATAAGGCATACAACTTTTAGCTCCAAGCTTGTGCAGTGAAACATGAGGCATACAGTCAGGCATACAATGCCTCACAAAATGAACGGACCTCGTCTTTGGCCCCAACCTGCTGGGCTTCCATCTTTCCCTGCACAAAACTCTGCACAACTGAGTGACGTCCCTCGGCACAACCTAACTGTTTCTCAGCGGTGTTTGGTTCATGGTCCTTCCCAAAGCCAAATATTCAAACGTCTAGATTCTTTGAGGAAATAAACGACTCGTGCAGCACAGGCCACAGCTATATCACTATATCATATTCATATATTATGACAATATTGTATATTATGTCACACTGGCTGGTGGTGGAATGCAAACAATATCAAACAACCTTGAAAGTGAAACGAAGTCCAAATGCAAATGTCTGTTGCTTGCTTGGAACTGGAAATCGCAGGCAAAGCGGAGAAGAGCATTGATTTACGAACATCATCCCCCACAGCTCTACAGCATCAAATTTGGTACATAAATGTCCAGAACATGTCAAATGCGGCCCTTTTTGCGATGCCCCCAAGGGGCACCTGCTGACGCTTCCGCCATTGCCGCCGCTTGTTGGACCAGTACCCGCCGCGGTGCTTCGGGCGGTTCGAACGTCGGTTGGCGGGGCGGGGGCCGCGGGGGCCGCGCTTGTGGTGCCCATCCATGAGGGCCAGTGGGCCCACAGGAGGAACAAAATCAATGCAACTTCTGCATGTGCAACTAGGTACATCCAAGTTATTTCCAGGTCGTGCAAGAGTGCAACTGCCAGGAATACAGCTACTGACTCCCTTTGCTTCTCTGGCTGAACATTGGACACACTCAAGCATGTACAAGCTGGATACATAATTATGCCTCTGTTTTGACTGGGATAGCACGACCGGCTTGACTGTGTTCGCTGAGGTCTGAGGTGCGGCATGTTGAGTATTGGCAATCTCTGAGCCAGAAAGTCTTTGCGTCGAAAGGCTTTCTTGGAGGTGCTTGAGATCTGACATAGAATCACCAGCAACTCACATCTATCATCAGGGTGTAGAATGAATGCCACGCCGACGAAAGGTGTATATATATATTATATATATATATATTTATTTAATATATATATATATTTATTATTTATGCAGTAATTACTTGTTGTCTCACCGTCTCATCTGAACACTGTTGCGTCCATTCAACAATATCCCCGCAGGCATCACGAAAGTGATGAACAATGCCAAGGCCAAATAACTATAAGTTGGCATGGTTGTCTTCAATTCGTTGTACCGACACCGTGGAAGCCAAGCACCTCACTTTCGCGCGACCATGTGCGTCATGACCTCCACCGGCGGTGGCACAGGCCTCGCGAGGCCGGTGGTGGTGCCACCCGATCCGGGAGTTGCTACCATTTGCTACCTTGATTCATGGGAAGGTCTGGGATTTAAAAGGCATCTTGAATTCACCTCGAACAAAGCCGAATGCTCAAAACGCTGCTCAAACACTACCAGTACAATTTCAAGCCAAACCAACGTCCAACAGTGCCGCATTGGGGCCTGCGGTGTTCAATTGAAAAGGCCCATAAGTTTTCTGTTTTCTCCTGCCCACCGTCATCCACCGTCCCTTGGATTCAGTGCCTTCGTTTGGGTGAATCCTGAGCGGAGCGCGGCGACTGAACTGCTCACGGAGGTGAACGGCGAAAGACCGCGGCGGAGACCGCTCGAGGTGAAAGGAGGAATGGTCCTGAATGGTCACTCTTGTGGTCTTGAATGGTCCTGAAACTGCTCATGTGACACACACACACACACACATTTCGTCGTTCTTTCTTCGATCACAGGTGTGATTAAACCTCGATCCGGGCGCCATTCCTAAGGTCAATGCCATCGCCATGGGCCCAGGAGTCGCCTCGAGGCGAAGCCACCGCTGTTGACCCAGGCGGGGGCCGAGTCATAGCCGTTGGTTCAATCTTGATGCGGTGGGTATATTTGAGTCATGATATATATGACTGTATATGGTCTATATACAGTTTATAGTATATAGTGTGTATATATATATATAAGGAAAGATAAAGTGGGTCAATGCACAACAACACACGCTGCAGTTCCAGAGTGACGTATACTGATTATGACCCTACAGGAAATCTCCGAATGGTTGCCGTCTTTTGCCAGGGCATGTTGAGGCAAGTAAAGCACGGGTGAAACCACGACAGAGTACCTGCAGTGCGCGCTGACACAATGTTTGAAACAGCTTGAATCAGCAGCACCTGCATGTTTATCGACAACAACCTGCACATCTGCGCAAGGTTCAGCATGCAATACATGGATCATTCTGAAATTCCGACATTTAGAGGGGAGCCACTGGAACGTTGCGGACGTTTCGATAGTAGTCCCTGATTGGATCACATCCCTCTTCCATAGAGACCATCCGGACATAGAAAAAACAAAACTCCCGGAAGTCAAGGTAGCCCTTCTGGGTGATGTCGGCCGTGCGCCACATGGTCATCAGCCGGTCATGCGGGAGTTCATGGCCATTGGGTATCTTCAGCAGCTCTTGCACCATGTCTGAAAACTCATCAAATTCAATCTCTCCACTACCGTCTGCGTCGTACTTGTCAAAGGCGACCCGGAACTTCTCAATGGCCCAGATTTCCAGACCCATCTGTCGTGCTAATTCCCTGGTCTGTCGCACTTGAGGTCGCACGGTCACCTCCTCTGCAAAGCAAAAGGAGGAGTACCAAATGGCAAATTCCTCAATGTCAATGAAGCCACCTGAAAAACAGTGCAAGCCACGGGGGCAATGTATAAAGACCATACAAAACCGTCCGTTAAAAACCGCATGCCATCCACATGCCGGTTCAAACCTTTCACTAGATCATCTCATGTCCTGAAGAACCTCGACTCCTCTCGCGCCTGAGTCGCGATCCGCAGCTCGAAAGGCTCGATCCGTGAAGCCCTTGTCCAGCTCTGAGGCGTCCGCGACTTCACAAAGAGCGACTAAAACTTCGGTCAGCTGGGAGACCTGCGGAGGACCGGGTGGATTCCTGTTTTCAACCAGGATCCAAAAACAAACGCGCACATACATCCAGGGTGTGATTTTTGTGGTAAGATACGATAAAGGCACACACACAAATGCCAAACATCAATCCGTCTCCTTCTGGAATAACCTTCATAAGTTTCAACCCTATATGACTCAATGGGGGCCCAACACGGCCTTCAGCTTGCCATCAAAAATGCCTCCTCCTTTAGGGAAGTCAGCAAATCGATGGAAGAGATGAGCAGCCTCCTTAGCCACTTGATATGGTAGTCCCACACGATGAGAGAGTTCTGGCACGCCCGGGCCAGAGTGCCGTACATAGTTGGGGTAGTGGTTTGACTGAGAGTTGCTTGGTTGGCGCCTGTCTTCATCCTGGCTTGATCGATGGCGACCATTTCGAGCCTGTTGAGCACGCCGATCTTCTTGAGCGGCCAAATCCCAGAAAGCACGGGCGGCTTCCAAAGAGACTTCTTGTGGGCCATCGCTCCTCTTGGTTTTACTGCGTGCCTTGGCCTTTGAGGCCTTCTTGGCATCTTTACCCTGCTCCACAGGCGTGCCAGGAATCTCTGGAAGGTGAAAAATACCCGAACCAAGCTTTGAGAGCTGTCCGATCCGATACTTCCCATGAGATGCTGACGGACTTTGCCGGCCACGCGTGGCCAACAATCGGCTGGTCTGCTGCCGAAGGGAGACAGCACGGGTGAGCCTGCTGGATGCCATGCTCCCTAGACTCCGAAAGGATTGACACGACTGGGTGAAGCGAGTGTTCCGGGAGCTCAGACTGTTCTCCACCGACTGCTTCTCGAAGTCAGCTGCTCTCCTCAACATATCTGCTAGTTTGTCCGGGACCGGCTCATCAACTATGACTTTCTTCGGCTTCAAAAGCTCCATTCCTGTGATACCTCGACCTGGAGATCGAGGAGCCCAAGACCTTCCAATTGACATCGTTGACATCTTGGATGACCCAACTCCGGGTGTTGTGGAAGGACGGGACAACTTGCTTGAAAGGACCGAGTCCTGTCCAGTACCTGGAAAGGATCTGGAAACCAAGCCAACACCCTCAAAGGCAACGTGAAAAAACATTTGACCTTCATGTCTTGCCCAATTTGCAGCATGTGGATCCATGTCCATGTCTTACATGATGTTACCAATCTCTTTGGTGGGTTGTGCCAACACACCCTTCACACTCTTACTCCTCTGTCAAGGCCACGGTTGGTCGCCCCACCTGGAGGTGCCGATGCCGGTGGGCCACTTACGGAAGCCAAAGCCGGTGCCTCAGACTCTTCACGAGAATGTTGCCGGGAGCGAAGCACAGTAATGGCCTTGTCCAACGAAAGGTCTGCGGAAAGAGGCAAGGTCCAACTCATGCGAGGTCGCCAAGCAAGGCGCTTCTTGCTTTTTTTCGCAAGGTGCCAAGCACGACTCAACGCCCGGGCGGACAAAGTCGATGCCTTGACTTGTTTTGGGACTGGGCTGTAGGTCAAATGGGTGGTGGATGGTGGTAGGCTCTTTGTATCCCTTGCGTTGGAAACGGTGAAGCTACTGACAGTAACCGCTTTTGCGGAGAGTGAGAGCAAAGTATGAGACTGTATGTCTGTATCTTTGCTGGATCGGTCAGTGTCGGTGCAAGAGCATGCTGTGAGCCAGTCAGCAATAAAAGCGCCTTGTATTTCCAGCAATGAATGCACACAAACTGAAACAACACATTCTTAGTCTTACTCTCACTGGTCTCAATAGGAAAGTGAGTCACAAACCATAGCCTTCTGGATGTTCGTTTACAGGCAAATGTTCGAAGCGGTCTCAAGTCAAAGTTCGTTCTCTCACGCATTCAATTTTCTGCCTTCCACTACGTATATACTATGACCCCTACAATCACAACTTCACCAGAAACGGTCCTAACGTTCTCCAGTCTCAATCTAACACCAAGCAATAAAATGCAATAGGTCTCACCCCACAGGTGCTAGCATCTAGCACACAAGCTAGGGAGAGCGGCGTTGCAATATGCAATCTGTGGTTGTGGCCTGCGGCCACAAGAAACAGGCCAAGCATCCGTTTGGGTCCGTTGAGCCACGAAAGCCAACCAATAATTAGCAAAGTCAAATACGTTTTGGCAATTGCAACTGTGAGTTGTCTCTGGTGAGTTGTGAGTAACGGTCCTTGAAGTCCAAATCCGCCGCCAAAGTGACCACCGCTGGGCCCAGCGAGAGCCGGGCGGTCTCAATCTCCTGTTGATTTGGACACCTTTCGGCCCAGAACTCTTCTTCAGCATCGTGGCAGCACTTCAAGATTTCCGGGCCCAATGCTCCGCTCTGAACTCGCAACTCAGCCAGCTTGGAGGCCTTTCGGTGTCCTTGGCTCTGGACAGCGTGGCAGGTGGTGCATGGTGTGGCAGCTGCATACGGAATCTACGCGCATTTAGATTCCCAAGTCAGCACATCCCCCAAGCCTAGTCAAAACGAAGTGGTGACTGATAAGGAGGGCAGTCTTCATTGACGTTTTGAAGAGGTGAACGAGAGGTCCTTCAAGACACGGGACCGTCCGCTTTGCTACAAGGGTCGGAGGTCCTTCAAGACTGAGAGCACTTCTTCGGCATCCTTCCCTGAATCCCCAGATAGCCATGGATTGGGCATCTCGCAAGGCAGGCCACCTGCACACGAGATCGCCAGGACCAAACAGTGCAAGGGTAAAGGACGGCAGTGCATAGTGAACATGTGTTGGTGTTGGGTTTATGGTAAGGGACAAACTCTGGCCGCCTGTCTCCAAGCAACCTTGGTGCTCTTCTTGCAACTTGGCCAGATCTTCTCGGACGTCGGGTTCATCAGAATAACCTGACTGCCAGGGCCCGGAAAGCTTGCGTGCTTAAGCATGTTGTTAGTTGTGTGTGATTTTGGTATGTGTGTGTTTTACACGGCCATTTAAATGCGGTGTTTCTCCTTTTCCGTTCTATGCTTATTGATCGCCGCAACTGCATGAAACACTAATGTTGGTAAAGACATCTCCATGGCCAGTTGACCAAGCAAGCCATTTTGGGGGGGCTCAATCGGAAACTGATGCACCCACCCACCCTCACTGAAACCAGAAAGCACGGTGCCTTGAAAGTGACGCTTCAACAAATATCCTTCTCAAAATGTAGCCCACCACAACCCTCTGACCCATTTATATAAAGATTACAGTTCACTGTTTTCGCGGTTTCGCACCGGACCGGATGCCTGCAAATCCCCTAATGTTGGATCACGATTAGTAAAGGGTGCCTCTATAATGCTAAATTTTTCCAAAATTATTCAGACCCCCCTGTTTGAAAAATGGTACCTCTATAATGCTAATTTTTTTTTTGGCACTAAATTTTTAAATTGGAAACCCAATTAATGAGGGATTGAATTCCTTCTGAACCCTGTCCACCTGCACTCCCCCCCCTTCCTTCTGAACCCAATTAAACCCTTTATAAAACATTGC